AGACTATTTTGCCGGAAAGTGACAGGTCAGAAAATTCAACAGAAACTGCAGTCATACAAATGAAGCGACTGAGAAACAGAACCAGGCTGAAAGCATTTACCTGTGGGGACTTGGCAGCACTGTTCAACCGCGAAGGCAGACCAGTATCAGTTGCTCTGAAGATAGATCAGGAAGCAAACTTAACCTGCTGAATAATTAGGGTTATCCAAGTATAACTTCAGTATTTCTTCTCAGAGGATAAAAACATTACTGCTGACAGTTGAGATGCCCTTAAAGACAGAAAATTAAATTAACAGTCAGGCTGCCATATCTCTTTCTCTGGGATTTCCCAGATGGAAATATGTGTGAATGAGCTCCATAGACCATGTGTTATAAATGCCACATTTCAGTAAGCTTCCAGGCTGACTGCACATACTCTGTACAAAAGATCTGTGGATGTTCAGTAAATCTGAGAGCTTGGGAACAGGCTTACTGTGTATGCGTGATTCCATTGAATATTGTGAGCATGGCAAATCCAGAATTCTGGATGTTTCAGATAGATCATGCTGCTAATTCACATAAGCAGAAAAGCACTGTCTAAAATCACCAGGACTAGGGCGGCTGTGCACATAGTGGATAGCAATCTGTGCACACAGGATTGCTGAGGTTTGCAGAAACTTCAGGGTTCCTATAGACCAATATATATAGACTTTCACAGCAGGTTGCCCAGGACCATTTCCAGAGGATTTTGAATATCTCCAAGGATCTATACACACATACATTGTAGAAACATTAGGGTGGTGAAGCACTGGAACAGGCTGACCAGAGAAGTTTGTGGATGCCTCAAGCCCAGAGCTGTTCAAGGTTGGATGGGGCCCTGGGCAGCCTGATCCAGTGGGTAGGAACCTTGCCCATGGCAGGGGGTTTGGAACTAGATGATCTTTAGGATCCCTTCCAACAGGAGACATTCTGGGATTTTATGAGGCTGGATTCCCAGGTTTGTGGCCACTCAGTCAAGGATCTACCACACAGTCACTCCATGGGGCTGCTCAATGGCCCAGAACCCCAGAGCAGGGTAAAACCTGAAGCTCTGCCTGCACAGCACATCTGCAAGGGCATTCTCAGGATCATCCAGATGTGTGGGGCTCTGTGCTAACTGCCCTGTTAACAAGTGCTTGCTTTTGGCTGCTTCGCCTTTGGCAGACAAACACTTGCCTTTTCTTACAGAGCCTGTGCCTGGTGCCATTATTTGAAAGGTTGTGCTTGTTTACACTAGCCCATCAATAATTAGACGAGGAGACCATGTAATGCGAATTCTATGCTATGTGTTACGCCATTTTACAGATGGTTGTGTGACTTTATAATTTTTAAGGGAAAAATGCAGCAAGTTACATATAAATGAGGCCTGGCTTAGCGCTACAGCATCCACAGAGGACAGAGGAGCGGCAAATAACGCAGGCAGCCCTCCTCTTGGCTGTGAAGGAATCAGCCAGGGCAGCGTGACAGGTGCAGTGGTGAGGCGGCAGTGATGTTCCGCTGTTTCAGTGTTTCATTAGCACAGCCCAGGTGTGGCCCATCCCGAGTGCTCAGCACAGCACACAGGCACTTCCCCTGGCCCCTGCGCCCAGCCTTCCCCTCCCGAGGCCCCAGGGCTGGCTCCCTGCCCTGTGCTGGTGCCGCCTGGTAGCCCCAGGCCAGCACAAGCCCTGCTGGGGAATTCAGTAAGAAGCATGAGTGTTGGAAGATCCAAGAAAGACAGGGAAACATCTAGGGAAGTAAAGCTCACTTAACCTATGGCCAAACTCCTGGAATGATTTCCTAAGGGACATCCCATATAACACCACAACATCAGTTCCTATACACATACATGAACAGGCAGTGGTATTGATTTACCTGCTACAGTGCAACTTGTGATGAAGTGCAACAGCTTGGCAGGATTTTTAGGACTTGCACCTGCCGTGAACAATGAGGGATCCACAATTAAGATTACATTATGGTTTTTCATAAGAAGAGTGGAAGGCTACGTGCTCACCTCACACACAAGACAAACCATCACTGATGGAGATGGAGAAGGACTTTTTCCAAGAGCAGCATCAGATGGAAAATTCACATTCACTGTGTGCTATCCTTGCAGGCAGGAATGGGACAGGAGGTATTTCAAAACCAGACGTGGCTACTGAAAGGCCACACAGCTCAATGCTATCTTCAGCTGCTTCAGTGGATGAGCAGGTACTAAGCTAAGCTCACCCGCTGGAGAAACCTCCCTGCCCTCCATTCTTCCTTCTAGACTAGAGATACCTCCCAGGATTAGGTCACCCCTCTGCTTTGGCTGCAGAGCTGGATTGCCAGCCATGGGTGGATGTGCAATTTGTCACATTTAAATGTCTAAGACATTAGCTCTACAAACACCCCAGGGCATGGCTACAAATGCACAGAGTGTAAATGTGAAAAAAGAAGTTCAATAAGTAGAATAACAGCATCTCAGGTGAAGCACCCCTAAAAGTAGGTCAGAACTACTCCCTGAAAGTGGGCTAATATGGCTTCTCATTCTTCTTACTTTATAATGTCTTTTGTTATTTAATGTTTGTTTCAGTGTTATTCACGTTGGTTGCTGGTAAGCTATCTGCTGAAGATACATCTGTAAAGAGTAAAAATTCAAGTCAAAAAATCCAAGAAAAAGGGCAGGTGTGATTGCATGTCTCCAGAAGATCTACTTCAACTACACAAGCAGTTAAAGCAAAGGGACTCAATGTACTGTGACCATAGAGAAAACTTGTTCCACCACCCACCTTGGGGTATACTGGCTGTCATTCTGATTTTTTTACAAATTTCTTCTCTCTTTGGTGACAAAATGCTGCTGTCACCAGAATGTAGTAACATGGACCTCCAGATACAGAGTTAAATTTGAAGCCAGTCTCAGAGAAACATAATAGAGTACCAGCAGCTGATGACTGAAAACATACTATAAACCTGTTTTAAACTTTTTCAAAGGAACAACAACCAAAAAAAAAAAAAAAAAAGGATTTATTTTAAAGGTTCATGTTCATGCTTTCCCTTACTTAGATAAAATGAATGGCCAAAGAGCTAATTTTGCTGGGTAAACTGTGTATGCAACATGAGGCTCTTGTCCAGCTGGCTGTTAACCAGCTTTCAAGGGAGGAATTGTGGCCCTTCTTCCTCTTGCAGAACTGGGAACTAATATGGTGCCATGGCTGTAGCTCTTCAAAGAAAAATATTAGGGAATCCAGAAAAAGTCCAGAATAAAGAAGCCTTCAGGTTCTTTTTGGGCACAGGGCTGAGAAATTCAGTTCAGTTGTCTGGTCTTTTTGCTGTATGCCTATCTGTACCCATCTGCTCCTCCTCACCCTGAGCACAGCCCTGACAGCTTCTCCCCTGCACAGCCACCAGTAGATGCCCTGCACCCACCCCCAGACTCTGGCCCTGCTGGAAACAGGAGTGATGGAGCTGGCCACATGTGCACACTGCCACGTAACCATGCAATCACATTTTTTTTAATCTCAGACCTGGTGCAATCCAATTTACCCTATTACATCACTTCTGTTCACATTCAATGTTCATTGTGAAACCATCTCAAGACAGGAAAAACTAGATAACTAGGGAAGAGCTGTTCTCCGGAGATTGCCACAGGTGACACCTGTGAGACATCAGTGATGTATGCTTTATTTGAGTTACAGTCAAGAAATTAGCACAACATCCAAAACATCCCAAAATTTCCTAAGCATACCATCATTTTTTACAGCTATGCAGTCCAAAGCATAAAAACATACTTCTTATTAGTTTGAATTCATACAATGCACACTGAGAATGCAAAGCAAGACACATGACACAAACATCCACCACCCTTGGGGAAATCACAAATAACAAGATTTTAAAAAACCACCCTCAACACTACGTTTTGGAAGAAATTGACTGTACAACATAGGAAGACTTAAACAATTCACAGAAGAGATGGGCTCACCTGTTGAATTATATAGATATAGTCAAAATCAGTAGTCTCAAAGATAAAGGAAGATGATACTAAAACTCCTCCAGCTGTTACCGGAAAAGAAAAAGAAATTAAGCAAGTTTCTTTTCAACAACTCTGACCCTAACCTTGGGCCATCCCTTCAATCATGTCTGTCCTCAAACCATTATCTCCCCACAGCAACAGTGGCCCTATATCTCTTCTTTGCTTCACTCATCCAGATACGCTCCCTCCTTTCCTTTCTTCCTGGGTTGCATTGGCAGGTGTAACGGGGAGGGTGGTAAACTGAATTCCTGCCTGCAGGGATAAATTATTAATGCCTTCCTGCTCGGTGGAACTGTGGGATTTGCCTGTTGTTCCACAAAACCATTTCTGAGTTTATGTTCAAGTAGTTCTGTCTTGATTTTTGGTATTCCAAATATAGGATAAGCTCTATCTTATCTTGCCGTTTTCCTCAATGATCTCAAATTATGAAGCTGTGATCCAGAAAATCCATAGTGGTTGTTATCACTTCATAGAATAGCATGTGCTGAAACATTCCCAGATATGCATCCAAAATGCACTTCTCTGAGATTAATCAATTAATTGATTAGACCAAATGGAAACTTTCTAGCAGAAAATATTTGTTATTAATTGAAAAAAAATAAATAGCAGAAAATATAATTACATTGCATTCTTCACATTTTGCTAATCTTTTAAATGTCTACATGCACTATTAAATACAAAATCATTTGCCTAAAATCTTTTCTATAAAATATTCACTTGTTGGTTTCCAAAAAGGAAATAATTAATTCCTAAAAGTCCTCCTTAGGGCTTACTGCCTGGGCCATGTAATATTAGCTTCTCCTCTGTTTGAGTAGTATAGAAGTTCTAGATTTACATAGCTACATTAATTAGAACATAACACTTAGGATTGTCCACAAGTGATTTGCAATTCCTAATTGCAAACAGCCTCACTAGTTCAATGGAATAATTTGCACGTGCAGGCAGGCTGAGGCTTGCAGGCTTGCACCTAGTAGATGATGGACATTTTATAGATCGCTAAGAATTGACAGTAGTATGTATGGGGTGTTTTCATATAGCTTTTATTAAACGAGTTTTCTGATAGAAGACAGCATTCTTACATAAGGAGGGTACTTGCTTTGTCTCTATGTACAACACCAACAAAAAACCAAAACAAACCATCAAGGCAATGCCAGCAGGAAGGTCATTGTTGAAACACATTTCAAATCCTTGAAGAGTCATGTTTTGATGTTATTAAAGAAGATATATTAGTAGAATTACAACTGTTTTGAAACCACACCTAGCAACAGTTGAAGAATTAATATGTTGAGCAAAAACTTCACCTACTCTAACAGCACAGTTTCTCTAAATTTTCAGTAAGAAAATGTTTTGAAGTAAAATGGAGCTGTTTGTTAGGCACACAGATGAAGTTTGCTACTCTTTCTCTTTAGCCACTGCACTGACCTCAGGCGACCCAGAAAATGTCAAGTGAGAACTGCAGCCAGCAAACCACTCAAGCTCTGTCCTATCCAATGGCAGTCCCATTAATTCCTGTGGTGCAGGCCCTATCTGAAAAGCTTTGCTGAAAGTAGTCATGTGCAGTGTCACCCTAGGATTCCTCTTTAAATATCGTAAACAATTCCCAGTGCCACCAACAGGACAGACCAGCCTAGGATTTGCCCCAGTTTTCTTTTTCTTCAGTTTCTTCAGTGACCACAGGAAGCTTTTGCACTGCTTCCTGTGCTTTTCAGGCAGAAAGTTTAGTCCATATATAATATCTTATTTTGCGATCATAATGCTTCAAAAATGTTAAGCTACCTCATAGCCCAGCCTATTCAAAGACCTGCCATCAACTTCAATAGGAAGCACACTGAGACTTTACTAGCGCAATGCAGATGATTTTTGGTACCTTTCCAGTAAAGGACACAGCTCTTTTGGCATATATTGAATATTATTGTCCTTACTCTGTGTGGAGAAGTAAATGGGTCTGTTGCAGGGAGGCTTCTGATGATTTACAATCCAAACAGACCACAGAAACCTCATTCTCTTAACAAGGACTAAGCCATGTCTTGGATTTGTTTTCTACTCCTAATGACAAGTCTCACATGAAGTTCATCATTTTCCAACAATATAACTCGGGCCTGCAATCCCATGGAGATCTGAAAGGGTTCAAAAGAGGTCATGTAACATTACAGAAAAGAAAGTCAGATGAGCTCTCCCAGGCAAAGAGCGGTGTTTACAGGCCACAGTATTTGCATTAGCCGAGGAGCTGTGATCTTCCTCTCGCTGTTTTTAATTGGCTGGCATTAGTTAGGTCCCTTCAGCACATGGGCATGACTGTTTATACTTGCAAGCAGTAATTACCAGCATTTCTCATTGCCCCATCCTAAAGGGACTGATCTGCTGTTAATTCAGGAGGCTGTAGAGAAGATAATTCAGAGGAGGCTGCATTTTCAGAAATCTTTTATGTCTCACACTCAGTAGGGAATAGATGGCAAATGCTTTCCCCATTGTTGAAGAGGCAAATAAAACATGGGCTCAAAATTATGAAACAAAGGTAGAAAGGGCTGGCATTCAGCTGGCCGCCACACTCACAGACGTCCCATTTTTAGGAGACAAGTTCACTGTATGAGCTAGGAAGGTAGGTAATCTAATAATTATGGAGCTAGTGAAAAGGGAGACTCAAAGAACACCCATCAAAATCAAGATGAAGACAAAGGACACCAAAAGAAGAAAAATGTAATGCCTTATCAGCAGCATCAAGAGGGGGATGATAGATGAGAGAGACTAGATTTACATAGCTATGAGCAACATGACACTGTTACAGAGCCCAGCATGATGAGGATGTTGAAGTGAGTCTTGGGTCTGCATAGCCACAGGGAGCAGAGCAGATGGTGTTGCATGTCACATAAGATCCATCACTACTTTGTGTGGCTCAGAAATCACTCACAGCTCAAGTTTGGCACAGCCACGTTCATAATGTTTGTGTGTTCAACCCAGCCACCACAGATGCCTGCAACAAAGACACTCTCTGTGCAGATCTAATAAAGCTGCACCCCCTACAATTCATCTTTGAGTTGTTCTTGGTAAAGAAAATTATCTTGAAAGCTTATTAATTCACTTTGTCACATATGAAATTCAAAATGAGTGAGCAGGTGGTCTGTTCTAAAGACTATAAAATCAAGTCCATCAGGTAGGTGACTAGATCCATAACCAGCAATTTGTCATGCCAGAGCAGAAGACTGCATCTCACAGAAACTTCAATCTGAGTGGAACATGTTGGATGTCTTCTGTTGGCACTAAAAAATGCACAAGTACATGTAACCATTTCCTAATAGAAAATGGAACGCATTCAAAATAAGGTACAACTCTACGTGAACTTAAATGAAGAGAGTTTGTTAATAGAACTATATTTTTGGCACATGGATTGTATGCTACACATTTCACTTCCAGACAATGAAGTTCAATTCCTTAGTATATTGAACTGATGATTTTAAAGGACAAATGTTACAAAAAAGGGTTATAAGCTATCTGAAATAACATACAAATAAGTATTTAAACAAAAATATATGAATGTTAACTGTGAATTCTTGAAAAACCACAGTAGATATTTATGAGTCACTGCCCCAAAATGCCAAGGGCAACCATTCCTTCTCCTATGAAGGGAGTGTGCAGGCAGATATTAAACAAACTGTTCTGAAGGAAAGAGCAGGATGAGAATAGTTGTTACCAACCAGAAAATACAGACTGATAGAGAAATGAAAGCACACACACAAAAAAATAACAAACCACACAACAACCCAGTAAGTTTTTAAAACATGTTGTGAAGAAGAAAATTCTTCTTAATGAACAGATTCTACAATTCCTCTATAACATATAATGAAAATGATAGATGTATCAGTAATGATTTGCAAAAGGCAAAAGTGTTAACTATGCCTTTCTATGCTGTACTGGGAACCATACCAATTGGTATATAGTTATATAAGGTGGCGATGAAAGGTGAAGCCTTGAAGCTCTCTCAGTGCTACTGTTTGGCAGAACAACAGAATCCAAGCGCCAAACTTTTATTTGTATCTCAAAATCTCATGGATTAATTCAAAGATTCAAAGATTATGAATCTGTTGTGATCATCTAACCTGCCCACCTATATAGCACAGGCCATCAGACTTGTGTGAACCTCTTCTCTGAACTACAGAAAGTCTACTAGGAAAACACCAGCATGAAACTGGGCGCTTCCTCCTTGTCCAAGCTTGTTTTGATTCAGCTTCTGGCCATTGGATCCTGCTATCATTCAGCAACACTGAAGAATTCATTACAGGAGAATACTCTCAATAGCAATGTTCTCAGAAAAGAGGCAAGTCCCTCTTTTACATTGTCCCCAGTAAAGTATGAACATTATGAAGATTATTTTGCCGTTTTTCAGGACTTCTTTTGCACCCATGCTAATGTGATCACATTCTTGTCCTGTGAATACTCAGTCTGGACACTGAATGATGGTAATTACTAAGCCAGTGCTAAACACAGCAGTGTCTGAGTGAGAAAAGTAAACACAGGCACAAGTGTGGGCACACATTTGCTCATGCTACATAATGGTTAGTTTCAGAGTGCATTTGGGGAATATGTGAACCTCTGCCAGGCTATACCTGAGCATGGTTTGAGTCATAGCATGGGACAAGATAGCTTAAACAAGCAGTATGGGTGGGGCTATTATGTTTGAGGGAGTCTGGGTGTATGGAGGCAAGCTATTCTATCTCATCTCCCCTCAGAGGCAGAAAATTGACCCAGGCCCACATTTCGATTTAGCAAAGACATAGCCTCTGCAAGGTTTTCTACCCAATTTCCCCATATTTTTAACTTTAGAGGCCAGAGGAGTTTATTTTTCAGAGACCTGCACTACAAATTCATGCTGAGACAGTTATTCATCCTGCTTACCGTGTCCCTCCAAGCATCACTCTTCCCCAGCACAAATTCATTTACTCCATCTGTATGACCTAAGATTTTTGTTTTCACTCCAATGGCTTTTTATTAGATTGTGTTAAAACAATCCAAGGTCACTTGAATTATAATTGCGATATTCCTCCTTTGGCACTCGTTAGTTTCTTCAGCATCAACATCCTCTGCAAACTCCACTTTCTCCGGGATATCTGAAAGAAGAACTGAAAAAAAAAAAAATTCTCAAAGAACTTTTAACAAAATAAGTCTTTTTAAGGAAGAGGAACTTTCACACTAAAGAAGAGATTGCGCAGTCTCCCCCTGAGACATCCCAAACTCAGCCAGACAACACCTAAGCAACTTGATCTGCCTTTGAAGTTGCCACAGCTTTGAGCAATGGGCTGGATTATATGACCTGCAGAGGTGCCTTCCAACAGAATGATTCTATGATGATTCTCCATTTGTACCCCAGGACCTGCCAGAAGGCCAGCTTTCAATCCGTGTAACACGTGCCATGTTAATTTTATACTGTTTGGCTTTCTTTAATTGCAGTCTGCTGATTTCGGGTCAAATGCTTTTTGTAATTTTCATCATCCTTATTTAACTAACTTACCATCGTATAAAAAAAGGTGGCAAGTTTTACAGTCTAGATTTCACATACAGTAACGTTGACTGGTATTAATTATATGTTTCTCCTTTAATTTTCCTTTAAGCTAGTGCTGCATCAGCTGTTCATTCCCCTGCCAGGATTCATAATAGGCATGACAGTATCTACCTTAAATTATCCTCGATTCCCAGCTCTTCCACTGGGTTTCAGGAGTTACTGAACATCAGCAGAAGCGGCTCATGCACTCTCCAGGTGACTCCACTAAAACACTGAGATGCAAGTACCTGGATGGCCTGATTTTAACGTTTAACTTCTCCATAAGTTTCTAAAGGAAAGAAGCTCGTTGCAGTGACGGGCATGCCGCTCTTTTCACTTCTTTCCAAACCAAACATTCACTGACCTGCACTATCCGCCCTGTGCCGTTGGCAGCTTTCAGGGCACAGCCCGCGGGCACGGGTGCCGAGCAGCAGCCCATCCTCCTGCCTGCACTGCGGGCGGTGGAGCCCTCGAAACGCGGCCTAAATGCCGCCCGCCGCTGCCACCGCGGGCCAGGCCGGGCGGGGCTCGTTGGCTCGGGCTGCGGGTCCCACCCCGCCGCGGCGCGGCTGCCCTCGCCCTTCCCAGCCTCCTCCTCGGGAGCAGCCGCCCTGTCCCAGCCCTCCCCCGGGGCTCGCTGGCCTTGCTCCTCCCCGTCTCTGCCACCGCGTCCCCAGGGCTGCGGCAGCCCAGCCTTTGTCCCCGTTCGGCCCTGGCTCCTCTGCGTGGGCAACAAAGGCGTTTCAGCTTCCTTTGCTGCAGAGCTCCATGAGGGAACACTGGCGCGACATGGATGCTTCTTGCTCTTCGTGCACCTGAAAGACGAATTGCATACTTGATTGTATGCAATTCGGAACAGCGTCAGAAAGTTCCATTTATAGCCTAAATCCTGTCTGTTTTGCTGGAGAATCCAACAGCAAAAAATACCAGGAGATTCCCACTTTTTTGCCTTCCTGCTCTCCTTTTGAGGCAACAAGACACTACATTTTTCACCATACGCTTAAATACAATTTATATTTGTCAGTACCTGTGGCACACCCACTTACATCATCTGCCAGAGAAGATGATGGACGAACATTCCCAAAATATCACAAACTGACAAACTGAATACTGCAGCTGAGAAAGTACAAATGATACTTCTGCATTTAGCATGGCAGTAAAGAGAAGATAAAACCTTTTCGCCTTTTTTTTTTCTTCCCAAAATGATGGTTACTTGCTTTTGAAAGAAAGTTTAATAGCCAGCATGACATTTTGGTAACTGACCTTAAAAATGACATTCATTGTTCCTGTTCCAAACTTGTGAGAAAACTTGTAACTGTGTCAGTACTAGTTGTAAAATCTGCCTTAATTTCTCACCCTGTCAGTCTCATGGGCTTTCCCATGGCACACTGTGATCTGCCTTCTGATCTCCAGCCAGTCCGTGCATTTTGAATTCCAAATATCACCCACAGAAAAATAAAGGGATGTTTCACATCAGCAGGCATCAGCATCTACCATCTGTTGCTTCCTGAGAAAGAAAACCTACCCGAACCAATCATTCTATCCTAATTTTAGTCAGCCTTTAGAGTACAAAGCCATCCAAAACACTGCTGTTAGATTTTCCTGGACTGGTGGAGTTCATGATTGACGGATAAGGAGGAAGCCACAGGCAATGTTCTCTCTTCCCTGCTCTATAAACCACCAAAGTTTTGGTGCTTTTAATAGTAAGTTCCTTTTGTCCAAGATGTCTTTCCCAAACAGTATTTAAAATGCATGATGAATACAAGGAAGATGAGCAGCATTAGCAGCCCCTGCAGCTATGGCTTACTTAATAAATCATTGCTTTTGGCACTGGGATGCTAATCCTCCCCTCGCTGTGAGAGAGACCCCAGCCCTAAATGCCTTATCTCCCATCTCACTGGGTTTCTCTGCCATGGTAGATATCTTGGGGCTGTAATGTAGCCCTTCCTTTGCAAAGGAGTGTCTTCAGGAAATGCTGAAGTTTCCTGAAAAATTCCATCCTTATGATATTGTGTGAAGCAACATTTGCAGTCCAACAGTATCTCTGCTTTTGTGGAATGTGAAATGAACAAAAGATTACAGGACGAGCTTGGTAATCAGGCAACCTCCAGTATGTAAGTGGCCACATATATTTATTATCCACTGCCCTGTCCTGCGAGAACTTCAACATATTCCAGAAGAGTCCATCAGGCCCTGCTGACATCTGGTTATGTTGGTATCACCATAAATGTGGAACAAAAAGAAAGACAGAGTAGGTTTATAAAGGCAAAGTGAAGCAGAGTTACAATCCAGACATGCAGATTTGCATATTTTGCGCGGGGGGGGGGGGCCCCCGAAATAAAAGAAATTGCTCTTGAAACATGGGTACAAAGAAGAAGGACACAAGCTAGGACACAGTGCCAGGAGAGGAATGAATACGCAGCCAGGCTTCTCCTAAGGTTGGCTTCTGAAGAAGAGCTGATGCCTGAGTCCAGATTGCAGGTATTTCCTTCCTCTAATCATAAGCAAGCCAATCCAGGTCAACAGGAAAAGGAGGAGGAGGATGTGGCAGCAGAGATGCCACCCAGGGGCAAGGGAACTCATCTGGGAGATAGAAGATTCAGATTTGGATGCTGCTGTCTCTTCTGCCTGGTATAGAACAGGGAATTAAACACAGAGTTTGAGTCTCCCAAACAAGTGCTCTGAATGCAAGCCATCTGCCACCGGGGTTCCTCAGTATCAGCTGTAGTAGTTTGTCCATGATTTTTAAATACTTGCTAGTTTGGAGAGGAATATCATGCTTTCATGCCCTGGTGTTGGAGCAGTGAGCTGGCACGAATGTTCCAGTCCTCATCCAGTAAACATTAAAGTACTTTTATAAACAGAAACAGCAGAGACCCCCTACAGAATATATTCTAGTTTGTTGAGCTCAGCACTTTTTGCAGGCTTTAGACACAGCAAAAAAGAAGGATCAGCACCTGAATTTCTAATGTCTCCATGCAATAATCACCAGGTTTGAGGCACATAGAAGCAAGGACACTTGCTTCTCATGCTTCAAGACGGATGCAGTGCAGAAAGTCTGCTCTAAGAGATTGCACATTTCAGATGAGGTGGAGAAATCTGGAGCTGTGAATGCCCACATGAAGTGGGGGTCAGCAGCTCAGAAGCGTTAGCAGGGGAGGGAAGACTGTGCAAGCCCACTGCAAAATGCAGGTATCTTATGGCCATGTCTTTTGTCATCAACAACACCAAGGACATCAGCTGCCTCCCAGGCGAAGCAGACCATGAGCTGGTGGTTCTGGTGATCTCAGTAATATGCAAATATCAGGCTAGCCTTAACTTTAATCTAGCCCTCAATCTCCAGTCTGCACCTACACTGTGGCATAGCAGCATCACACAGATGAGGCTCTGGGCAGACTCACCTCTCATCCCCTTTGTTCACTTGCACTTTCACATCTTCAGTGCTGGATGAAGGGCAAGTCAGCTGCTATTTAGGGTGGTGAACTCCACATGCACCCCACACATTATGGTGTATTCAAGGGCATGCTTATTTATGTGTTGAGCAAATAGGTCCTGTGATTCTGTGAAGCTTCCTTCTGGCCCGTTTGCCCTTACAGTCATTTCCTATGGCCTCCATAATCACCACTGCAATCACCAAAGACAGAGGTACTTCAGAAGAAGTAGAAAAGCTAATCTGACAAAGAGAAAGTAGAAAGATAGAAGCTTTTTCCTAGAAATACTCCCGAGGCGCACAGGATAGAGTATAGGAAGGAACAAAAATGAGCGATAACATCACTGCCAAATCCCAGCAGACCAGCATCATGAGTCAGGCCTCAAAGAATCATAAGATTTCAAAGCAGAATGACATTTTTGTTCTTTCTAGTCGCCATCTGATTTTTGAATCCCTAGAGCTCATATGCAAACTTTTCCTTTCATAGAAAAAGAAAGATTGGGTTTTGCCATAATCATTTGTCTTCAGAATATGCAGTAGCAACAAATACTCTAAAGAGAGCCAAGCTCCAAATGAAACCACCAGAGCTGACAAGACTATTAGACAGAGGACAGGAGAGAAAGAAAATTGGGAGAAACAAAGAGCAGAGAGTTGGATATGTCAAAGAAAAAGGCTATGCACACCTATTTAGGCCTTTCCTCAAGGCAGGAAGAGAGAAGAATGTGGGACATAAATAAGGGAAGATGATGTAGTCAAATCTCTAGGGAGAAAATGCAATTCTCTTCAGCTTGCCTTTCACCCCAACGAGACTGCAGCAAATGTTGAATTTTGATAAACAACTTCAATGTTGAATTTTTGCTGAGAAAGTTAAAACTCAGATGTATAGTATGGGTAATCAGTGGCATGGCTAATTGGTGACTTCTACAATCTGTCCTACTCTGAAACATAAGATGTTTCATTTTTGTTTAGATTGCAAGTCTGAATGGAATACCAAAACAAACATCTGAATGTCTGCAAACACTGTGTTAATTTTTTATCAGTCAGGGTTCTATTAAGAGAATAAATGTATTTATAAGAGAAAATGTATTTATTCTCTTAATAAATGTGTTTATTCTCTTTGTAGAGAATAATATGAGTGCACTGAGGTTTTTCAAGCTTATTAACACCTGACGCACACAGATGAGGATGCCATAGGAAAATGTAAAAGGTCATTCACTGTGTCTTCCCTGAATTACCTATTTTGCCCACATTGTTTCTCTGCCCCTGTGTGTCAAAGCTCTCTGCTCTGTCTGGAAGAAGGCCCTGTGGCTGAGGTACATAGCTGAGAATTTTTATGAATGTGGGCAATCAGAACGGAGTTGATGGCTTACAGGAAGAGGGTTTTGTGTCCATGTTTGCAGTGTTGCTAGTAGGCGAGTTTAATATCAGTGTTAAGTACATTCAGGTAATGAATCACATGATGGTAAATCAACGTCTGATTGTACTGTGAGCAGTCTTTTTTTTGAACTCTTTCTTCTTTGACGTGGAGCCTTTGTTCCCATTATAAAACTCTGTATTTCTCAATGGCTTGCTTTATCAATTTGCCAATCAAGCTTCACAGCAATACAAAAACATACAGATTTTAATTCAGTTTCAAAATTTGTGATGCTAAAACAATAGATCTTTAATAATTAATTACGTTCAAGTCTCTTCATTTCAGCTAAGATTATATATTCATATATATGTATATTCAGAACCAAACCTTTCTTTTTGTATGGTATCCAAAGCAAATATACTACAAGAGTACCAAGGAAACATAAAAATCTCAGTTGTATCTATAGGTAGAATCTTTAGGGATTCCTAAATTAGAGGAGTGTGCATGGGAATGTTTTGATTCCTTTAAACATATAAAAAAGCCTGGCCTCTCCGAGAGCTCTTTAGCATGTAAATGCAGGTGCCTGCCTGGGAACCTGTGAAGAGACCGAGAGCCCATGGTGCCAGTGATCCCCTAACCTCCCTGACATCTCTACCATCCTCACACTCACATTACCTA